AGCCCAGCCCAGGCCTGCCAAACAACAATGACAACTACAACCAAAAAATAGCCAGGCAGCTCTGTGTTTGTAGCACATTGGTTACAGCGCCAGCCACATACATCGAGGGTGGTCAGTTCAAAGCTGGACTGGGTCAGCTAGACAACAATGGCAACTGCAACCAAAAACATCCAGGCATTGTGGCGGGAGCCGGTAGTCCCAGCTACTGGGAGGCTGAGGCAAGAGAATCGCATGAGCCCAGGAGTTGGAGGCTGCTGTGAGCTGTGATGTAACAGCGCTCTACTGAGGATGAGACAGTGAGACTCTGTCTCAAAAAAAAAAAAAAGAATTCAAACACAACTAGATTAAAAAACAACTAACACCAGATACCTCAAAGTATCTCATACCTCATACCTCAACAACCAGATACCTCATAAGCATATGAATTAAGTTTAAATTTCCTCTTTTCTTGACCCCTATCTCTGTTTCTGTCTACCACCGAATTTCATGAAAGAGTAGCCTCCTCCAGCTGTCCCAGCTTCTAGATTCTCCCCTTGGTGCAAAGTAAAGTATGACTTTCAACTTGCATGTTCTACTGAAACTGCTTTCTCAAATATCTCCACTGACCTCTTCTTAATGTGCCACGTACAACAACCTATTCTTGGCCGCACATGGCTTGGCCTTGCTGCAGTGTTGAGAGCTATTGGTGGTTCATCCATTCCCTTTAAAATCTCCTCTGCCTTCAACCCCTAAAAGGCAGTTGTCTCCTGCTTCTTCTATGACTCTGACCATTCTTCTTCAGCTTTTTTTTGCCCACTTCTTAGGTACCTTCTCCTTAAGTCTTACACAGGGGCCTGAGGGTAAGCAAGATCTATCCTGAAGGATCTATGGGAAGTCAGGTATAGATTAACAGACCTAGCCACCAGTCCTGAAATCCAAGGTAAAGTGCCAGGAAACAAAGGCAGGAGCAAGTAGACACGACTGTGTGAAGGGAGGCCCCTCTCGTAGCAGGGATGGGTTTATTGGGTCATAAATCTTTTGCCTTATACACCCTTAAAGGCAAAGTTGAGCTTCAGATATTGTTTCCCAAGATTCTGTCCAGTGTTATTTTTTCTATATTGTATACTTCCTCCCTGAATGTTGGGCTACTTCCAGGATTTTGCCTATAACCTTGTTTGCCCCAAATTCTATCTCCAGCCAAGAAATTCTTGCCTAAATTCTAGACCCTAACTTTTTTCTTTGTCTCTCTCCCCCCATGATCCCCCCCCCTTTTTTTTTTGAGTATTCAGAGTTTATGGAAAGACATAAAAAGGCTCTACAAAAGTTAAGACAAGACTTTACAGGAGTGGCAGAAATGACTCACCAATCTTTACTCAAATTTCTACTTCTTATATATATACCCAAAGCTACCCTTTTTCCAATATGGTATTCTTTCTTTTTTTTTTTTTTTATTGTTTGGGATTCATTGAAGGTACAAAGAACTAAGTTACACTGATTGCATTTGTTAGATAAAGTCCCTCTTACAATAGTGTCCTGCCCCCAAGCAGTGTGCCATACACTGTGACCCTCTCATCTTCCTCCTTTCTCCCCTCTCCCCACCTGCTCATTCCTCTCGCCCCTACCCCCTTGTACAAGCTTATCTACTGCCTTCATATTAGAATTCAATACATTGGATTCTTCTCCATTCTTCGATGCATTACTAAGAATAATGTGTTCCACTTCCATCCATGTTAATACAAAAGATGTAAAGTTTCCATCTTTTTTAGTGGCTGAATAGTATTCCATGGTTTACATATACCACAGCTTGTTAATCCATTCCTGGGTTCGTGGGCATTTAGGCCGTCTCCACATTTTGGCAATTGTAAATTGATTTTTTTTTTTTTTTT